GGGGGGGGCAGGTAGGGAAGTGGATGTAAGAAAGAACAAGAGGTCTCCACCTTGGGGAATTACCCACCCCTGCCCGTGTGGAAGGCAGAGGCCTTGCCCTGGGGTGAAGTCAATGGCCCGTGGTGTATGGATGGATAGGGCAGGACTGATCTGGTTAGCCTCTCTGATAAAGTGAGGTTTTACTTTGTTTTGTTTTGTTTTTAGTTTATGTATTTTGAGAGAGACCTAGAGTGCAAGCACAGGAGGGACAGAAAGAGAGAGGGAGAGAGAGAATCCCAGGCAGACTCTGCTATCAGCACACAGCCCGATGTGGGGCTCGAACTCATGAACGATGAGATCATGACCCGAGCCAAGATCAAGGGTCGGACACTTAACCGACTGAGCCACCCAGGTGCCCTAAAGTGAGTTTTAAGAAGGACTGGAGAGAGGAAAGAGGAAGTCTGGGCAAGCAGGCAGGTGGAGAGGGAGATAATAACACCTTGGAAACATGGTCTGAGTAGCCCTTCTAACACCTCTGTCCTCTGCCCCCTGTGACCTTTGTCGCCGTCAGTCAACCTCCTGACCACAGTGGCCTTGGCCCGGCTGGCCGCCAGGACCAGGAAGCCCTCCTACTACTACCTTCTGGCGCTCACAGTCTCGGATATCGTCACCCAGGTGGTCATCGTGTTCGTGGGTTTCCTCCTGCAGGGCGCCGTGCTGGCCCGGGAGGTGCCCCGGGCTGTGGTGCGCACGGCCAACATCCTGGAGTTTGCTGCCAACCATGCCTCCGTCTGGATTGCTGTCCTGCTCACGGTCGACCGGTACAGCGCCCTGTGCCATCCCCTGCACCACCGGGCCGCCTCATCCCCAGGCCGGACCCGCCGAGCCATCGTCGCTGTCCTCGGTGCTGCCCTGCTGACCGGCATCCCCTTCTACTGGTGGCTGGATGTGTGGAGGGACGCGGACCCCCCCAGCATGATGGATGAGGCCCTCAAGTGGGCTCACTGCCTCATCGTCTACTTCATCCCATGTGGCGTTTTCCTGGTCACCAACTCGGCCATCATCTGCCGGCTGCGGAGGAGGAGCCAGAGTGGGCTGCGGCCCCGGGTGGGCAAGGGAACAGCTATCCTCCTGGGCGTCACCACGCTCTTCACCCTCCTTTGGGCACCCCGGATCTTTGTCATGCTCTACCATCTGTATGTGGCCCCTGTCCACCGGGACTGGAGGGTCCACCTGGCCTTGGACGTGGCCAACATGGCGGCCATGCTCAACACAGCAGTCAACTTCAGCCTCTACTGCTTTGTCAGCAAGACTTTCCGGGCCACCATCCGAGAGGTCATCCATGATGCCCACCTGCCCTGCATCCTGGGGTCACAGCCAGAGGGCATGGTGGTGGAACCTGTGCTAAAGCCCCCGGGAATTCCCAAAGGGGCAGAATTGTAGAGGAGGGGCCCAGCCAGGGTGCTCGGGTGTGGCTCAGGGCCAGATATACTGCTGCCTTTGTGGTGTGCCCACAAAACTGTGACACACTACTTTGCAACTAGGGGTCGGGGAATGGCTCCTTCCTGTGGGGGCGGCTCCCCGGGTGCACGGGGTACAATTTTTCCAGCTCTCCCATTAGCTTCACCAGCAACTCCCACTTCTTGGGACAAGGAGAGGGCTCTGCCAGGCACAGGCTGATAGTGTCAGCTGCCTTGGCATTCCTTTGTAAGGGACATTTCACCTGGCACGTTATGAAGGCTAGATTGACATTGATTGGATGAGTGAATGAAAGGCAAGATGGGTGGATGGATGGATGGACGGATGGACAGACAGGTATGAATGGTTTCCAGCCACCACCACCCCCACCCCTCTCCCGCAGAGCCTATATCTCCCTCCCCGAGTCCATCACTTCTCTGGCTTCCAGTGGCCAGGGTGGAAGGAAGTTATCTGCAGGATTCCAGCATATTCTGGCTGGGGGAACCAAACGTTTTGCGTGGGAAAGGGGATGATCTTAAAGCAGATTAGATGTCCCAGCCCTGGGGCGACAGAACCCCTTGAGTCTCAAGCATCCTGGTTGGATTCCACTTAACTCCCTGCCCTGGAGCCAGAATAGGTTCAGGGGCCCAGAATAGCCTAGGGTTTTCATTGTTGCTGATGAGAAAGGAAGTGCCCTCTCAGCCCAGGGGCAGGGGGATGGGAAGGGAGGATCTAACCCATTCCACTTGGAGGAAGGCCTCTTTCTCCCTTATGGGGAGGGAGGAGATGGCCCAGCGGATTGGGTCCCTGGGGCTCTGCCCGCCCCTCCCAGCCTCTCCTGGGCTCCGGGAAAGGCAGCTGGGAGAGATTAGCAGATGCACCTGCCACCTGCTCCAGGCTTTGGGTAAACACATTAGCGGCTGCTTTCTGCTTTCTAGTCAGTCTGGCTGAGCTGACCTTTCCCCTGAATGGGAGGTTCAGGCTGGGGCCCGCCAGCACTCAACCCCTTAGTGGCGTGGCCGAGTCGAAAGAGCCAGAAATGCAAGCCATCAGTGCAGAATAAATGCTCAACTTTCCCTCTTTCCTCTTCTCCCCAGAACAAGTGTCCAGGAGGGGACTCTCAGCCACACCCAAAGGGGAAAAAGGCAGGCTCTTCAGCTCTTATCCCTAATTCTAAACTTTATCCGTAATTCTATTTTTTTAAGTTTATTTATTTACTTTTGAGAGAGAGAGAGAGAGAGCGCACGTGGGGCAGGGGCAGAGGGAGAGGGAGACACAGAATCCGAAGCAGGCTCCGGGCTCTGAGCTGTTCAACACAGAACCCGACGTGGGGCTCGAACTCACGAACCGCGAGTTCATGACCTGAGCCGAAGTTGGACGCTCCACCAGCCGAGCCCCCCAGGCGCCCCAAACACATTTGGTGGCAAAACCTGACCTGACCTGACCTGACGCAGGGTGATGGGGTGTTGATGCCGGGGTTCCCTGCAGACTCTCTGGGGGTGTGGTTACACCCAACACAGAGGACAGGCCACGCGTGATCTTTCTCTGTTCTGAAAAGTTCTGAATTCTGGTCCCTCTGGTCCCACGAGAGATAAGTGGTCCTTCAGAGAGATGAGTGGGGACCCACAAGCTCCACCACTGCTGGCACAGCACGGTCCGGGCTGCCCCTGGGGGCACGTGGGGCACCGAGGGCTCCCCCCGCAAGCGCACAGACTGGGGCCTCCTGTCTTGCTTAAGGAGGGGGGTTCAAGTGCAGGTACCTCAGGGAAGAGCCGGCTCTGAAGGACGAGACGATCCCTCCCCAGCCCACTGGAGAGGCCACGTCTGCCCTACAGAACGAGGCACTGGGGGAAAGAGTGGCTTTTTGATGCAGATGGGGAGGCTCTGTGCAGGCAGGTGGAGCTTTGCACAGGTGGGGACTTGGAGCCACCAGAACTGGGGTGTTAATATATTGTTTTTAATGTTCATTTATTTTTTTGAGAGAGAGAGAGAGAGAGAGAGAGAGAACATGAGCAAGGGAGGGGCCGAGAGAGAGAGAGAGACACAGAATCTGGAGCAGGCTCCAGGCTCCGAGCTGTCAGCACAGAGCCCGATGCGGGGCTCGAACCCACGGACCGTGAGATCATGACCTGAGCCGAAGTCGGACGCTGAACCTACTGAGCCACCCAGGCGCCCCACCAGGGTGTTAATATTCACACGACCCCATGTGTACCCACGGGGAGGGGGGCAACATCAGTTTTTCCAAATGGCTCCTGAGTGGTAACCATCTTACAGACTGAGGAAGCGGGAGCACGGGGAGGTTAAAGGATGCGGCTCAGGGCCCTTGGCTGGTGACGAGAGCGGCTGCGGGTTCCTGGTCCTGTTCCTGCTCCTCCCGGGTGCAGCAGATCAGGAGAAGGGCAGCGTCGGGGATGCTTTGCATCACATAACTTCTTGGTCCTGGACTTACCAGATTTGGGACCCACTGTCATATTTTCCGAATAAGATGTATTAGACAACAGTCCCTTTTAACCATGTTTGTAACCTTTAACAAAACCAAGAGCCCTTCGCCGAAATGTAAATGGAAGTATTATTACGCAGCTTACTTTGTGCATCTTTATTGTCAACTCTCACCGGCTCCTGGCAGGAGAACAAGACGGCAGTGGTGTGGTGTCCCCCCTTCTCTTCTTCGCCAACCCGTCCGCGGAAATACCTTCGTCTCCCGGAGTCGGCTGTAGATCGTTTCAATTCCACACTTTTTTTAATGTTTATTTATTTTTGAGAGAAAGAGACACAGCGTGAGCGGGGGAGGGGCAGAGAGAGAGGGAGACACAGAATCCGAAGCGGGCTCCAGGCTCCGAGCTGTCAGCACAGAGCCCAATGCGGGGCTTGAACCCACAAACCGTCAGACCATGACCTGAGCCAAAGTCGGCTGCCCAACCGACTGAGCCACCCAGGCTCCCCTGAGAGTACCTTTTAGTTCAGAAAAGCTCTCCTTAGATTCCTATTCTTGATTGAGATGCTGTCCCCCACCCTTTTCCCTGGTTCTCAGGCAGGAGAGCACATGTGCTGTTGTGGCCCAGGTTTCCTGGGCCCCCTTTGTCACTTCTGTGGCCAACAGAGCTTTCCTGTCCTGTCTCCAAGGGCTCAGATGCTTGCACAGCTTTCCAGCATAGCCCACCATTCCCTGCTACCTGCACTCGCTCGCCGGGTTCTCCCATGTGGATGTCAGCACCCCGGACTCCCCGGACTCCCCGGGCACGCTCGCTCCCCCAGCCCCTGAGCTGCCTCTGCGGTTTCATTTCTGGCACCCTGGAGCTTTCCCCTTGAGGGGCTTGACTGCGCTTTCCCCTTTGTCTTTTCATCCAAAAAAGGAGACCCGCTGGTTGGGTAAATGGGGCGCATGGCTGTCCCCGTCCTCCCGGGGTGGGGATTGGGAGCAAGGAGAGAGGCTTCTTGGAGGACCTGCTGTTTTCAGCAACCAGGCTGGGGAGGGGCCCCCCCAGAGAGCAAGATTTACTGAATTAAGCCTTGAGCCCTTTGGTCGGCCAGGTTGTAGACGAGCCAGCAGGAACAAGGGATGGTCTGGGACACGGGAGTCTTGGGGGTGGGGGCTTTCCCCATGCCTGCCTCCGTTGTCAATGGTGAAGCTAGAGTTCCGGGAAGGAACACTTGCCTGTCGCTACGGACTCAGACAGCAGGGGGCGCTGCAGGACCGGCTGGATGGAAACCCTCAGGCAGGGCTTGAAGTCAGATTTATAGGAAGAGCCAAGATACTGCAAGGAAAGCGCGCCTGCCTTGGGGCCCAGAGCCAGCAAGGAGTGGCGGGGTGGGAGGGACCAGCTGTTCCCCTTGTCACTCTCCTCCACCCTGAAGCCACGCCAGCTGCCACGCTGGGGTTGGTTAGCCCAGGCAGCCCACGGGTCACTGTAGTTTTCTCAGATCATTCTGGAGGCTGGGATGGCTTCCTGTGCGTGGCACTGTGTGAAGGGCCCTTTCATTGGCCTCCTCCCTCCACCCTCCATGGCAGGGTCCAGCCAGCCCCTCCCGCTGGCCTCAGATTCAGCAGAACTGCCTTCTCCGCTGGGGGGAGGGGGGTGGGGCAGGGAGAGCTTGCCTGAGTTCAGAGCCCCAGGGCCTTGATCAGTGCCTCTGGGGTCCCACCCACCCCACCCTAGTCCAGTTCCACCTGGACCCACCCCCTGGCCAGTGGGTCCTGGCTGGTGGCAGCCCCTTGGGCATCCAAGGGAGTTTGAGCCTTGGCAGTGGCCCCACATGACAAGGATGGAGGGAAAGGGGCCGGGGAGGTGAGGAGGGAGGGAGACTGCCAAACCCCTGCCATGAGTCATGAGCAGAGGTGGGACCCAGGGTGGTCCCATCCATGGCTGGAACCTTCCCTAGAGCTGCTCCAGAGCTCCTCCTCTGGCCACAAAGCAGGAGGGAGAGTCTATGGCCGGCCCACCTTAGTCCCCACCCCCCACCTTAGTCCCCACCCCACTGAGCTCACCAGCCTGCAGCCCCCCATTCCTACCTAGGACGGCCTGGTGAGGCTCAGGGGCAGGTGGAAAGGCAGACCTAGACTGAGGGTGCCATGCTGGGGTGTTTGCCCACCATTTAGGGAAGAAGGGAAGGCAGAGGCTGATCCAGGGCCAGCCTTCCACGGGACTCCCACTGCCTCCTGTCTGGGGCCACTCCCAGGCTTTCACACCTCTCTGTTCAAGTAGCCTGGAAGGGGGACCCCCTAGCCCCCGTGCTGGGGGAAGGTGGGCTTCCTGCCATGCACTCCATCTTCTCTGTAAAAGGAGAGCTGAGTGGGTTAGGGCCTGACTTAGCCCCAAGCCACCATGAGATTTAAGCAAAGGAGCCCCCCATCCCCACCCTCCTTTGGGCAGGAGCGTGAGGGGGCAATGAAGGCACAGGTGGTCTCCTTCCTATAGGTCCCCCTGGAGCCTGGCTCTAAGATTCCATCCCTCTGGCTGCTGTGAGGGGACGTTCTCCTGCCCTCC